AAAAACAGAAGGCTGCCAGCTAATAATCCCAGCAAAATTGGGTTAATTCCTACTACTTTTTATATAAAAAAATAAAAATAAAAGCCACCGGAAATATTTTAACTCTAGCTTTTGTCCTGCTATGCTCTTTATTTTGTTTTGTTCCTCAGATCACTAAACCAGTAGGTGGCCTTTCAAACAGCCTACCATGCTGGCTATCTAACTAAGAAGTTGGATGGCTGAAGACAAGTAATTCATCAGAATCTGAAAAGAGGCAGATAAGATCCTGCAAGAGAAAGGGTTATAAAGACGAAAAATATGGCTGGTGCATTAAGTTGTATCAGTGTAAGTTAAGGTGTATCAGTGCAATGAAGTTTATGGCTTTAGCCTCTCTTCACTGCTGGCTCTTCTAATACAATAACTTCAAGAAAGAGCTTAACAACTGCATGCCTAACATAAAAGCAGAGACAAAAATGGTCAGAGTTCATAGAATTTTCCTAGGTTTAGACATAACATTATTGGCGAAAAAGACAAAAGTACCAAATGATTTCTCATGGGCCAAAAATGGCACTTCAAGAAAAGCTGCAGTAAGAGGATTCAGCAGCTGCGTCACAAGGCAGTCCAAAGCCTCTTTCCACAAAAGACTTGTGAAAAGAAGTCTGTGCTAAATGTGAGTAGAGGAAGACTTAGTGGATAAACTGTCAAACACAAGATTCCTCAGGCTAGGCTTTTGGATATTTGAAAGATCCCAATACCCATACTCCCTGCAGTGGTATTTTTGATCAAGAGTAGTGGAGATCTTCTTTTAACTGTCAGGAGCTGAAATCTGCCGAAGATCCTTCATCCTTGAGGAAGCTGATGAGGCAATGCTGAATGGAATGGGGAAAGTGTACATTGTGGTTCATAAGTACCTAAGACAGTATTTTCCATTGTCCCTGCTAGAATGAGGATTGCCTTTTCATTTTCTCAACAGTGCAAGGAGAGAATTTGTGAGTGCTTTAAAAAGTATATAGATTTGTCTGAATGGCACTTTAGACTTCTGGTCAGATGAAGAGGCAAATATAGTTAGCAGCAACCCCAGTTGGATGTGGATTCATCTTTCAGATTGATATAGTCCCCGTGGCCTGAAACAGACATGTCTTTATCACCTGGCCAAGTTGCGACCATCATTTTTTCAATAAGGACCCTAGGAAGAGGGAAAACTGAGTTACCCACAAAACTTGCAGCAATCATTTGATAGCATCTCAAAAAAGAGTAAGTCTCCATTTATTTTTGTAACCTCTCTATTCTGAATCTCTTCCATATGAGTAAATAATAAAAGTGTAATTTTGGAAATCTGCACTATACTGTTTATATAACATCTTTAATAACAGAACTACGGGTCAGATATCCCATAACTCTGGGATACTCACTGACTAATGATAGGATTGCTGAACACCAATGAGAGTTAAAAATCATTCAAAACAAGTGCATAAATATTAAGACTAGGCATATACTATTGTTTTTGTGTTATGCTGTTTTTCAATTTATTGCCTCTTACTGTTAGAGATTAGACATTACACTCCAGCTATAGGCTATAGCAATGGCAGTCATCTCAGTATAAATTAACCTTGATCTTTGTGATAGTTCTCATTCCAATCTTAGCTGAAATACATCCTACTTGGAGAAATTAAACATATCTGCAGTACTACTTGATACTACTACTTAACACAGTCATAAAGGAACAATATGCTCAACTTCTTTTGACAAACATTTATACATTCAATTTTCCCTACCTCATTGACTCATTTACATTTTTGTTTTCCTTGACAGATGTCTCAGTCCAACCAGTAAAGCCATTCTCTTTGCTGAATTGGTCAATTTCTTCTCTAGTCATAGCCCATGGATAAAGATCACTCTGAAAAAGAATTCAGCAATGTGAAAACAATTATTGAGCACAGTTTTTTCTCTCTCACTATTGTTAAATTGCAAGATATAATTACATTTAATTAAATACATTTAATTATAAAACACATCTTTAGTTCAACATTGCACCAGCAAGGTAAGCTGTGAAGTATTCATGTCCATTCTGCAATTAAAGAAAATCTACCTCTTTTTAGTGATCAGAAGGGAAATTATCTAATTTGTCAAGGAGAGAGAAAATTGCGCCCCAAAAATTGAAATCAATGTGTTGTGGACAGATTTAATTTATATTCTGTGAATATAAAATAGCACTCTAATGTGGCTCTATCGTGGTATACAATGATCCCAGAATCATATTAAACAACACCATTAATGTACTAAATTATTTCAACTGAATAAAGAAAACATGTAACCCTGAGAGCATTTCTCTTTTAGCTGTAATTCAATGAATAGCTATTGTATTTTGGGTTTTTTTAGTGTTGGATAATCAACTCTAATTAAGTTAGAGTTTTGAAAAATAGCCAAACATTTGCTTAAAGCAGTCTGTCATATTAATTTGGCAAGAAAATTAAACTTAACTAAAATTAAGCAGGAAATTTGTACAGTACCAGAATGTTTCTGTGTGCATCTTTGACTTAAGGATTTTGAACATAAAACACTTATATTACCAGTTCTTTCTAACATATAATGCTCAAGATTTAATTCATAGAATGTATGCTTTTCTGCCTGTGTTGATTTAAAAATTCAAACTGAAATTTGGTTGGGTTATAACATGAACATCCCCAATTCAGATCTCCATCCAGACATTAGGCTATAGTACCTTCTCTTAGCCCAAGTTATACTAACTGGCATAGAACCCAGCACCTCATTTTCTAATTGGCATTAGCCAGTTTAAAAGAATGACATCTATGGCGAATTATTCTGGCTGTTGATAGGTTTCTAAGCCAAGTCAAGATGCTGGGTAAACATCTATCCAGTCCTTTATCACTTGGGCCTTTAACTGCGGGGCCAACCTCTTCACGTAGAATCTGCCTGACCTACATAAGGGAAGAAAACTTTTTTTTTTTTTAAGAAAAAAAGAGGTCTGGGACTTGGAGATGGATTTTTAGAGCTTTAGTCCCTTTCTTCTGGAACAGCTTCCCCTTTAAGGTTTAGTGTGTGCCTACTCTGATGTTTCAGATCATAAAATAGTCCTCTTTCAGATAGCATTTGAACTTGTTTGATAGCACCTACCTTAGCAGTTTGTTTATAGCTTTTATTATGACACCATGTGGCTAGTAAGTGCTAAGCTTTGCCTAATCTTATGATGTATTCCTGTACATAACATTCTTTTTGTTAGTTATAAAATCTATTTCACTAACCCTTGCTCAGTTAAATTCCAACTCAGGAATGCTCAAACACACAAAATGCCTGAATTTCCAACAAAGCCCAGATCTGAGATGAAGTTCAAAAGTTCAGAAAAAAAATGCTGCCATGCAACACAATGAGCAGGACTCAGCAGGACTCCCAACTTGGCAATCGTAACTTACTGTCCACTTGCCCAGTCACAACTGAAGCATCTTAGAAGATCATTTCTACCCCACCTTTCCTTCCCTGGAACTGCATCCCACTGAGAGGATGTAGCCCTATCCTTGCCCAATACATGCAGCAACTTAATGCCAAGTCTTTCAGCAATCCAGTTTTACAGACCCAGGAGTGCTTTGCACAAGAATTTACCTATCTATGTGGATGCTAAGAACTGACACTGAGTCACTTAATCATCCACAATTTTTACATTACTCCTTTAGCCTTTAGTGTTTAGTCTAACATCACATCACATCTGCATCCTCCACAGGTGGTTGCTTTTTTTAATGAAATCCTTTTCTGATGGAATCCTTTCCTTTGACTCACCCATTCCAGAGATCCACATACTCTTTTTTTTATCTCTGAACAGTAAAAACACACAGACACACACACCACAGTGATACACAGAAAAACATGGTAACCTCTCTCTCTCTTTCTAAATGTATGCATCCATTTGTATGCCATCTCCTCAAAAGCTTATATGATTCTATGATGAAGTAACAGTGCATACCTACAGTCTCTTATAGTAATCCACAAGTTCTAGTAAGTCAGTATTTGTTTACCTTATTAGCCAATAGCAGACAAGGGATAGGACTTCCATCTTGCAGTTTCACCTTGCTATCCAAATCTTGTTTCCATTTCTGGCAACTGGTGAATGTGCTAAAATTGGTGACATCAAACATGACGACACAAGCTGCTGCCTCCTTGTAATACAGTCGAGTCATTGATGTGAAACGTTCCTGACCTGCATGTTAAATGAGAAACATTGAATCATTATCTTAAAGCAAATATTTTCTGATTCAACTGTTTCAGGGTTTTATCTTTAGTATTTCACATTAAACTTTTCTCAATCAATCCAAATATAATCAGAGATAATCCGAAGAAAAATGGAGGCTTTTCATACTATTAAATGTGCTTTTATTGGCCCATAATGCATAATGTGCTAAATGAATAAGTATTATGCCTTCCAGGCTGGGGAAATGACAGATTATGATCTACTGAGAAATCACAGTGGTTTTTAATAAATTAAAAGATTGCGATTTCTTATATTGGGCAAGGGCATTTGACTTTCAATTCCCCCCTCCCCCCAAAACCTAGAATCAAAACCAATTCCTAGGCTAAGCATTTGCTTCAAAATACACTTTTATGTTAAGTATATGTCTGTCTCATTGGATCACCAAGCAGAGATGCTTGAACTTCAAGGTCACAAGTGGCCACTAGAAACCTCTCACAGACCTACCAAACTTGTCAAAAGGAAGAGACTCTCAAATCAAGCTTGACACTTCACAACTACATGTATGCATGCATGAAATGTTCACACCAGTTGTGCAGAAGTGGCTTGTCGTCCCCCCCCCCCCCATTTTTGGAGTTTATCTAGAGTTCTGGAATTTTCTGATGGTCTCCTATCTAAGTATACTTACCTTTTTGAAACAGCCATATTGCTCTAGCTGCTTCCACCTGTTCTAGGCTCAAAAGCTATACTTTGATGGCCATTTTTAATACAAGAAAAAGGAAATTCTAACTATCTGTAGAATAAACAAACATACATATAACATGGGAAAAGAGCCATAGTTTTACATATTTACAGAAGGCCAAGAGAATGGAGGCCCACCTCACTTCTGGGGGAAGAGTATTGGACAGGGCAGGGGCAATGGTAGATAGAAAAGGATAGATTTTGTTGTTTGAACAATAATACAGTTTACAACCACAATCTGGATCGGAATTTTGGTCACTAAGTGATTCAGTCGTTGAGTCATCACCTGATTGGACCTGATTTTATGAACATTTTTATTATGGTCATTAAGCACTTGTTAAGCGAATCTGGCTTCCCCAATTGACTGCTTGTCAGAAGCTGCCTGGGAAGGTAAGAAATCACAGTAATCTATATGCAAGCTGCTTCAAACTTTGTAAATGTGAGCTGAATCAATCAAGCAATTGTGGGGGTGATGCAATGGTTGTAACTTTGAGGAAGGGTTGTCAGTCACTTTCTCTGAGGCCATCATAACTCTGAGCCATCGTTAAATGAATAGTCAAGAATTAGCTGTAAAGAACATTCCTGGAATCCTTACTGTAGCTATTTCTTGACTTTGCCTTTTTCAAAAAGTTTACTCATATTTAACTTCAAGTAAGTACGCATGGAAATAAAATGCAATAAAAAAAATGTCTTTTTAGGCATGAATCCAGCTGGTGACCCTGAACCAGTCACTCTTTCAGGGACTTGCGTGGGTAGTCATCAGGAATCAAAACTGACTCAAAAGCACGCATGTGCACACACAACCTGCAAATGAAAATGAAACTCTCTCTCTCTCTCTGGGATTTGACCTCCCAAATTAGACTACAGTCTATTCAATCCAGTTCTCCCATCCAAATGCTAACCAGACCTAAGCCTACTTAGCTTCCATAGCAGTCAAAATTGGTCAGGTTCTGCCACCTACAGAGACCTCAAAAGAGGTACAAGACATAAACATTTAAGTGGAATATTATATGATTTCCTCCTATAGAATAGTTTAATTGTTAGGTTGTTTAAGAGAGCTGAACAAGCAAGGTAAGTACAGTTACTCTAAAAAAGGCTGAGAAGCAACAACAACAAAAAGCAGATAACTCCTTGAAACTTACCAGCAATGTCCCATAGCTGTAACCTCACTGTCTCAGACTCTGACCATTGCACCACCTTCAGAGCAAAATCCACTAAAAGCAAATACAGAACATGAGAGAGGAAAAAGCAAATGACACTTATTGCTTAAGAGTACTTTCTTTCACACTGTGCATCAATGCTGATCACCCTCTGTGTATAGACACTCTAAAATACATTGTCTATTGCATGAGCCACAGCACTTCTGTGTTCATGGGGAAAACCTTTGTAAATTATACTGAAGAACAGTGAAAACAAACAGCCCCTAACTGTATTTCCTCTTCACAAAGAGAGCTTTAAACTGTATGGGCACTGTTCACTGCAGCACAACCATCTGCTTCTTAAAATTGCTGGAGTATAGTAAGCAATTTTAACAGAAAGGGATGTATTCACCATATAGAAATAGTTTGAATGGCACTGATTTTAAATGGAATACATTTGAAAATGACCCCAATTATTGGCAGCAGCACATATTTCTGATTTATTTTGAGGTAAAAGCTGCACATTTCTCAAGACAACTTATTTGGCATTGCAACATTCTTCCTCCATCAGTACACAATAAGTGTAGCAATGCAATCTTATCTGCTTTAAGCACCATTGTTTCTATGAGTGATTAAATAAGTCTTCTATTTAAATATTAACACACGAATCTTTCCAGAAAAACTTAGATCAGCTGTGACTTATTATGTTTGTGACTTGTCTTATAAGACAAGTAAAATTTAAAAACATTCTAGTGCAGAACCACATTTTTTTCAGAAGTGTGCTACCTCTAATTAGATAAGGAAAGACAGATGAATAAGTAGGTAGGAAGGATTCAGCAAGCGCATTGAATGTTCCTAGGGAAAATCTATACTATTTTCCCAAATAGTGGTAAAAGTTTATATGTATTATGTGTTTGATTTATATAAATACTCATCTCACTTTTGTGTGGCTGTAGCTAGCTGCCAGCCTTACAAGTTAGACCACATAGGGAACATGATCAGGGGTGGGATTCAATTTTTTTAACAACCGGTTCTGTGGACTTAGTTGGTGGGTGTGGCTTGGTGATCATGTGACTGGGTGGGTGTGGCCAACTCAACATCACTCTTGCCAAGGGGCACTTCTCCTCTCCTGGCCTCTCATGACAGTGGGGATGCTGCAACAGTCATAAGTGTGAGAAATGGTCATAAGTCACTTGTTTCAGTGTAACTGTAACTTTGAGTGGCCACCAAATGAACTGTTGTAAGTCAAGGATTACCTGTACAAAAATACAAAAAGCTTCTTTGCTTGCAAAAAGCTGTCCTAAATATCAATCATTAGATTAAAAATACCTGCAAGCCAGAGTTACAAATCAGGCAGGGTGCCAGAGCATCTTGGAGGATTAAAATAGTTAAATTGCAGTGATAACTATCAGCAGCCAACTCTTGATCATAAAGTGAAACCCTTTAGCAGAGAGGTCATTTAAGATCTCCAAAAAGAGCACACCCAAGAGAAGCAATCCTTAGATCCATTTGCACCACTTAAAGATACCAGCTGGTCTCACTCATCTCACAAGATATCCTAAGGAATCATCCAGATTTAAGGAAAGGTCACACATCCCCCAGAAAGGCAGTAAAAAAAATCAGTGCCAAGCTTGTATCCTGCCTCTTGGAAGTACATCCCAAAAGGACAGTGCCAGATACCTCTAAAGCAGTGAAGGAAGACACCCCTCCCCAGATAGAAAAAGAAACCATGAGGCAGGAAAAAATTCAAGTAGCTGTTGCTTGTTGAAGCTGAATAGGGAAAATTATCCCATCAATAAACACAGGATTAAACATCACCAAGCACAGAATTAACCTTCACCAAAAACCAGTTTTAGACCAAAACTCAGAAAGACATAAGACATAAGACATAAGAATTTATTTGTCATTACACTCGCAAGCGGGTGCAACGAAATGAGGTGCTCTTCCACAAAGTAAAAACTGGACAAACACCACTAAAAAGAAAAAAATTAAACTAAACACAACCAACCATACAATCATCTCTATGCAATTTAAAAATGTAAATACCCCATTACTCTCAGCCATTTAATTCCACAAAAATCTTATGACCCTGCATTCAAACTCAAAACTGTACTTGGATAAAAACTGTTCTTAAATCTGGTCGTCCTTGTTCTTAATACCCTAAATCTCCTTCTCAATGGTAATAGTTCAAAGAGCTGATGTCCTGGATGAGAGGAGTCATTCAATATATTAAGTATCTTCCTCTTACGTCTATTCCTATACAGTTCTTCCAAAGAGGGGAGTGAGCAGCCAATGATGTTTTGGGCAGTCTTGATCACCCTCTGAATTGCCTTTTTCTCTGCCACTGTGCAGCTCGAGAACCATACACAGAGTATGTAAACTCATGTTTGAATGTCAATCTTTCTAGCTAGCCAAGAAGCCTTGCTGAATATCACTCATCTTGGTTCCCTGTCATTAAAAGCTGCTTTCTGATAGCTCTGCTTCATTATTCAATTATTTCTTCAAAGTGCTGATTGTCCAGGGAAGTATTTCCCCCCAACAGCAGTGTAAAAATCTTAAAACAACCCTTCTTCTTTAAGAAAATCAAGCCCCAGAAGCTCCAGAAACAGGAAGTCTAGGCATACTGGCAAGAATGTACTAAGGGTGGAAAAAAACAAAAGGAGATTGCTTAGGGGTTCTATAGAACTGTTCAGAACCAGTAGAATCCCACCCCTGAACATGATCAGATGAGCTAATTCTAGTTTATTATAAAGCTTCATTAACAGAAACTTGGAAGTCTGAAAGTACTGCACATCTCTCCCCAACTCTGTCTCCTTTAAAGCTCAAGATATTAGGAAGGGTCTCCACTGAGCCTCTTGCCCCACTCACGGTCCTTCTAAAGGCTCAGCTGTGTTTTATCTGACCATTTCCTTGGTTGTGTTTCTTTGTCCCACCTCCCAAGTCATCCCCACATATCATTTCAGTGGGTTGCAATAAAATAAGATACATAAAATAAACAATATTTTAAAATAAAACACACAGCTGCCAGGCATAGTCCAACCAATTGTCCACAGAGCCAGGAGATCGGCTCTATCACATGCCCACAATCAAGTTTTTAAGACCTTACAGAGGGCCAACGGAGAGAAGGGACCAATCCAAACTCAGGGGGGTTGATGGCAGGGGCCATGGGAGAAAAGGCTCTCATTCTGGGGTCCATCAGTCAACACTCCTTAGATGGATATACCTGGAATATGTCCATCCTGCTAGTATACACTTTGTTATTGTGACTGTGTGAGGGCTACACAGTTAACTTCTTTGATATTACATGGCAGTGCTGATCATAATATAAATGTAAAGAATTCTTTTATCACACCTCTCTACTATCCTTATCTGTCTATAGTGGTCTGTGGGAATGATCTTAGGTTGAAGAGCTGTAGCCTAGGTAATGGATTGTTGAAAGCAGCTCTGTGAGCAGGTAGGGGAAAGCATAGGAAGGGACCCGCTCTGGTTTTCCAGAGCCTAAAAGAAAGAAGAGGGGAGAAATACTTTTGGACTTTCAAGATTGATGTCAGCCTTGCAAGGTAATCCAGTCAGTCAGATGAACTAATTCTACTTTTAAGCTTACATTAGCACAATATTGTAGGAATAGGGAGGGAGTATTCTGGCAATTTTTTTAAAAAAAATTTTTTTTTTACTGGCTTTATTCAATTTTAACTGTAGGCTTTCCAGAGTCATGAATGAGATTGTGCATCCCACAAATTTACTAAATCAATCAATGCACTGGAACTCATAAGATTTTATAGCAACTATTTTGTAAGTGGATCATTCGCCGTTTTGCAAGAGCACCTATTACCGGTCGGTACATGTTCTCAAAATTCCAAATCCAACTACAAACCCAACTCTACTGGAGTCACAAATTTCTGTGATCTTTTCCCTCTCTCAGATTAAAACAAATATATTTAACTGCAGGAAGTACACTTTTAGGATGCCTATTAACATCCTGCATTTCCCCCCAAAATGCAGGGGAAGCAACACTTAACTGAGCAAAGACTATTATTTAAATGTAATACTTCAAGTTCAAGGCAGTCTTGGGAACAACTCCACCCCACAACTTGCAAAGTATACCCATTTTAACTGATCAATATCTATTTCAAGAATGAAATTGGGCCCTTTATCATGTCTTCAGTGGAGCTCTTTTTACTGATCTCTGTCAATTCCTCTTGTACAGCAATTCTGTGGCATAAACATCACTTTCAAGAAAGGAATTTGGGAGATTTAAATATTAATCTGGGCCAAAGATGAATTATAAGTGAAATGTGTTGGATGACAGGCAGAGAAGCCAGAATATAAGGATATGTATGCACTATATGTATTTAGCTAGCCTTCAATTCAATGTGGATTCCTGGTGACTGCCTGGACAGTCCAGAATAGCTGAAAAGAAACTGATGTGTGTCATACAATGTGTTGGTATATTGTGGTGATGTCCCTCCAGTTTTCTTGGCAAGATTTCAGAAATGGCTTGTCACTGTTTTTTTCACTGATCACAGCAGCTGGCTTTGTACCTAAGGCAGGCCAGATCTCACCTCTCTAGCCTGCTGCTGTAACTGTAGAAAAGTTTGTCAGCAGCTATGATTACACCATTGATTGGAGTGGGTGTTAAAAGTATCTTCAGGGCAAAGATTTCACTTTGAGCTGTAGTCTCCCAAGGAATACGCTCCGTGTGTGTTACTAACCAGCACATAATTCTGGTCAAACTAAATTTGATTTCATTTGCATCTACTTTAAAAAATAAATACTCAGCCACATTAAAAATTCTAATTTGGTAGCTACTTTCAGAAATCTCACAACTAGCTCTTGTGCAACTTTGGTATAAATCATCACATATTCTTGGCAATAAAGCTTGCACACAAATCACTGATACTGATAATGCCTGAATAACAAACTTTAAAAATAGTTAATGCCTTGTTTCATTCAATGTGTGCACCCACATTCCGATGTCCTATTTACATATGTAGCATTAAAGGTGTAGTTTTTTTTCATTATTAGTTTCACTAAAAATATACTATTTTAATACAAACATACATATATATCACGTGTGCATATATATTGCTCCTCACAATAGAATTTATGCTGGATTAAGTGGAACTGACAAAAGTACATACTGAGATTATACACCAAGATTCTATATATGCAATAGATATTTTGATCTGAATTATAGATTTTAAGAAAACATGTAATTCAGGACAATTAGAAAAGAAATTAGAAGAGCACAGCAGATAGCCCATTTTAACATAGAAAATGGCTATTTGGTTTAGTTTATCTTTTATGCAATAAAACACTGCACAATCACAGCTTATGAAGCAGACTAATTATTTAACAATTGACTGCTAAGACTATGAGTAAGCAAGGTCACATTTCACTATGATAAGTTTAGCAACATAGTAATTTCCAAATTGAGGAAAAATAGGGTTTCATATCAAGGATGGAAAACCCACAACAAAGAGGAACTAAGTATTGTAAAACAAACATTCAGATAAACAGGAATTATAGAAATAAGGTAATATCTTCAGCAGTAACTTCTCTTGCAGTAAAGCTTCAATGCAAGTCTTTTCATCAGACAAATTTTTGCAACTGGGGAAGAACTTAGTGCACAAGAACAACCCTGTACATTATTAAACCCTTTCCCGGCCACAGTCTCCTTTCCAAATATTTTAGGTGTTTCTGTAATTTCCTTGCTGCAGCCCTGAGAAAAATCCAGAAAACTCACCTCCTACGGTAGACTTGTAGTGCTTGTTGAAACTGTCATTGGCATATCGCTGGACTAACGAGGTCTTCCCAACTGTGGCATCACCAATAATCAAGACTTTGAACATGTGGTCGTGATGGCCCACCATGACTGGTCACCAAACCCAATTAAAAGAAGCGGGTGTTGTCTCTTCTTCCCTTTCCTGAGGGGTCAACCAAGTGAAGAAAAAAACAAACTACAATTCAAGTTATTTACGGGGGGGGGGGAGAGAAACAACTCCGCACATCCAATTGTAGTTTCTGTAAACAGGGAACTCACGAAAGGGTCGCTTCCTGGTTTTCCGTTTGCAAGAATACCTCTTTCCGTGCAAGCACACCTCTAATTTAGGGTCGAGGGGACCAAATATACCACTTCCAGAAGCTTTTTCTCAGTCATAAGAACATTGACGGTGAGAACTCAAGAGAAGACTCGTCCGCCCTACCTTGCTTTCTGAGAAAGAAACAAGGAAAGGCTCTGCACCCGATGGTGCACCAAAGCGAGACAGCCGCACCCGATGAAGCACCAAAGCGCGTTTGTTGGAAAGGCAGGCAAAACTTAAAGGGGATTCCCGCGCCCGCTTCCTTCTCTCGCACGGCTTCTGACTCCGCTTCGCCAACTCTTTTCCGCATTCGCCTTGCTGTCATGTGAGAGACCCAGGCGGCAGTTCTGCCCCTTTAAAGCCCCAAAAACTACATCACCCGGCATGCATTTGCGGAGCGCGTCTTGATTACTTGGGAAAAGTGCAGTGTTTTAATCTACTCCGGTGGGCGCTGCAGCACGTGATGTATAAAATCATGTCCTCAGCATTTTTCACAGATGAAACTAGGAAGTTCTGTGAAGAAAACTCCTTATTGAAGTGGCCTGTCGTTGGTTCCCCTCCCCCCTTTATTCCTTCTGAAAAACAAGGCCTTTCCTGCCATATGAAATGGATAAATACGGGTGTAAGAAAAGCAAATTGAAAACGGATTTAAATGGGGAAACGCTGGTTTTCTATGTCACTACTTGTGAAAAGGGGGAGCATATAAAATGGTTTATAGGCAATCGCTAATTCCATTGCGGGCCTACAACATTCTACAGAGAAATGGCATGTGAAACTAAAGACACAAAATAAGAGATACCTAACATTGGTTTACTTTAGGGTTACTAGATATGAGCAACAAAGAAGAACCCAGACAACTGAAAATGAAGAAAAATGGGGAGTGGGAGAGAGAATGATAGGGCACATTAGCTGTTTAACTTTCTTGACATCTGCCACAAAATTTGCAATGAAAACCTGTTAAAAATGTACTTTGAACTAAATGTGAAAATATTTTCTCCTGTAACAGACTGTTGGTTTTGCAAGAGCAGGAATGTGCTATGTCAGGTTAAAGAGGCAAAAGCCTTCAGGTATAACTGATTTAAAGTCAAGTTGCTGGAATACAATCAGGACAAACTGGCTGCAGGATACAAATCAACTAATGAACAGAGTGGAGCTTGTTAATTTGTATTAAGGAAGCACCTCCAGAAAAGCTGCTCAGAAAGAAATACACAAAAGACTGATAACGTTTCATTTTCAGGCTATGCCTGCATACCAAGATAAAAAGGAAGTCATATCCTCCTTGTTGCCCAATGTCCACTAATCCTATTTTATATCAACTTCATTAATTACACTCTACCTTTTTATGTTGGCAACCTCTATCTTGGCAAACTACAGTATTCTTATTCTCACCACATCCAACTACTGGTTCGTCCTTATTCATCCTTCACCCATTTTCCTTTTTCTATACTTAAGTACCCCATTGACTGGCATATTTTTTGAAAATTTCTCCTGACATCAATTCTCATTTTGATGTAACTAAGTGGTGGAATCCTACTGTCATTCACAGCCATGTTGTCTATTTTTTTGATAAACCTTTTCTCACAACATCAAACATTTGTATTATTGTTTGTATTTTCCTATCTTTTGTTTATTTAGGTTACAATGATTATAGCCTGACCAAAGGGGGGTACATTAAATGTATTTCTTTCATTAGTTGTCATGCTTCTACCTTGCCACAATCAAAACAACAACCTTACAGAATACATAAGCAAAATTACACAGTGCTCAAAAAAATAAAGGGAACACTTAAACAACACAATGTAACTCCAAGTCAATCGCACTTATGTGAAATCAAACTGTCCACTTAGGTAGCAACACTGACTGACAATCAATTTCACATGTTGTTGTGCAAATGGAATAGACAACAGGTGGAAAGCATAGGCAGTTAGCAAGACATCCCCAATAAAGGAGTGGTTCTGCAGGTGGTGACCACAGACCACTTCTCAGTTCCTATGCTTTCTGGCTGATGGTTTGGTCACTTTTGAATGCTGGTGGTGCTTTCACTCTAGTGGTAGCATGAGACGGAGTCTACAACCCACACAAGTGGCTCAGGTAGTGCAGCTCATCCAGGATGGCACATCAATGCGAGCTGTGGCAAGGTTTGCTGTGTCTGTCAGCGTAGTGTTCAGAGCATGGAGGCGCTACCAGGAGACAGGCCAGTACATCAGGAGATGAGGAGGCAGTAGGAGGGCAACAACCCAGCATCAGGACCGCTACCTCCGCCTTTGTGCAAAGAGGGACAGGAGGAGCACTGCCAGAGCCCTGCAAAATGACCTCCAGCGGGCCACAAATGTGCATGTGGCTGCTCAAATGGTCAGAAACAGACTCCATGAGGGTGGTATGAGGGCCCAACGTCCACAGGTGGGGGTTGTGTTTACAGCCCAACACCATGCAGGACGTTTGGCATTTGCCAGAGAACACCAAGAGTGGCAAATTCCCCACTGGCGCCCTGTGCTCTTCACAGATGAAAGCAGGTTCATACTGAGCACATGTGACAGATGTGACAGGGTCTGGAGACGCCGTGGAGAACGTTCTGCTGCCTGCAACATCCTCCAGCATGACGGGTTTGGCAGTGGGTCAGTAATGGTGTGGGGTGGCATTTCTTTAGGGGGCCGCACAGCCCTCCATGTGCTTGCCAGAGGTAGCCTGACTGCCATTAGGTACCGAGATGAGATCCTCAGACCCCTTGTGAGACCATATGCTGGTGCGCTTGGACCTGGGCTCCTCCTAATGCAAGACAATGCTAGACCTCATGTGGCTGGAGTGTGTCAGCAGTTCCTGCAAGATGAAGGCATTGATGCTATGGACTGGCCCGCCCGTTCCCCAGACCTGAATCCAATTGAGCACATCTGGGTCATCATATCTCACTCCATCCACCAATGCCACATTGCACCACAGACTGTCCAGGAGTTGGGGGATGCTTTAGTCCAGGTGTGGGAGGAGATCCCTCAGGAGACCATCCGCCACCTCATCAGGAACATGCCCAGGCGTTGTAGGGAGGTCATACAGGCACGTGGAGGCCACACACACTACTGAGCCTCATTTTGACTTGTTTTAAGGACATTACATCAAAGTTGGATCAGCCTGTAGTGTTTTTTTCCACTTTAATTGCGAGTGTAACTCCAAATCCAGACCTCCATGGGTTGCTAAATTTGATTTCCATTGATAATTTTTGTGTGGTTTTGTTGTCAGCACATTCAACTATGTAGTGAACAAAGTATTTAATAAGAATATTTCATTCATTCAGATCTAGGATGTCTTATTTTGTGTTCCCTTTATTTTTTTGAGCAGTGTACATGGTTAGCTTAATCCAACAAATAACAGTAGGAATAACTGTCCTGCTCCTCTAAAAACTTAGACATAATAGCAAAAGTTTTCCAAAACACTTAAAAGATTTTTAAATTTCTGGAAAACCAACAAAGGGAATGGAAGAAGTCAAAAGTATAAAGAACAGTAGTAATAATAAATCAACTCTTTCCCCAAGACGAATGCCAATAAATCTTAGCCAATGTTGAAGGCCAGTTGAAATAAAACTGTTTAAGATCTCCAAAAAATGACAAAGGATTCAGCTTCACAGTTCCCTGGAGTGAGATTTCCAAAACTTTCCATAATTCAAATCTATTTCCTAAACTAATCTAGCAGCTGGATCATAGAAACACAGGAGTGTGTTGCCTATCTTTAGTTTCTGAAATATTTGTAATATACATAATTCACAGGATTTAGTGTGCAACACTTTTCTTTTGAAGCTTATATAGTGAAATCCCCTACAGGGGAGCAAAGTTGTTTTTTGTTTAAACTTTTTGTTCCTTTAATGGTAGATGGCTGAAGCATAACCATTTTTGGCTCTGAGCATGGAGACTGCGTGAGAAGATTCTGAGATGTTGCCGCTGGAAACAGATCTAAAGTTCATAATCCTTGGTCCTTATAGCAACAAAGTCAGAATCATGCAAGCAATAGTTTTCCTGTTGTTAGCCATACATTTGGCAGGTCTGTTATCCCTATATGCCTTGCCCAAAGAGATTCTGAGCCACAAAGATAGATTAAATTTATCTTTATTTATTACATAAGTAGAGAGAGCACCTCACTAGCCACTCAGTTAAAAGAGGAGCAGTTTATAAAAGGTGGAGAATTACATACAGGTCAAAACATACTGGCTTTGGAGTGAGTTCTTTCATTAAACGTTAAATCATTTGGCACATCTCTTGATGTAGTATATATGCACAATAGTGCTAGCATGTAATATCACATAATTTCTTAGTATGAACTTGTTAATGCTCATCCATTCAGGAGGTGTGATTTTTCCATTATGTGTTTGCAAATCAGCAAAGTTCAAAGTCAGTGTCATTGGCAGCTTTGAACCAGTCCTTTGGGGTTGTACTTTTCACATTCCTAGCTTGCTTTATTCTAGAAAAATTAATCAAAGAATTTCCTAGATACTGAAAACGTTCATTAAAGCCTGCCCACCTCCGCTACTGCCATCACTGTGACACTATATAGGTCCAAAAATTCTCAACTCTCTTGAAAAAATCCATAATACTAGGAAATGTGAAAAGAGGTCAGCAAGGGGACCTAGTTGGATAGATCTATGAATGTGGTTTTTAAGAGCTGACACAGACTTCATGGTACATTACCACTCAATCATACTCTGAACAGAGGGAAATAATCTAAGCTATGTAAGTTAATTTGGATAAGGCGTATTTTTCTTAGGCCTTAAACAACCGTCACATGTGTCTCCTTCTTAAAGAATCCCTAAAATGAGCATGTAGTTTGAAAATAAAGGACAAAGGGGCAATGATTAAAACTGGAGGAAACCGATGTGGCCTAGTCTGTTTTGCTTATTAATATGAACATCAGCTAAAATGTCAGCTACAAATTTTTGATAAAATGAAGGACCAAAAACCATATAAATAAATGTAAATATTTATTATACCAAATATAATTTATCAGTTAAATTTGCATATGTCAATTCAATTACAGCAACTATAAATAAGAAATTGTTTTCTTTGTTGAGTAAAGGTATAAACCAATAGCTTAATTTTCATTTGCAGCCAAGTTTAAATATACATGCATTTGAGTGCAACTTGTAAGTATAAATTTTTTTTTTTTTACAACATTCTGTTTATATACTTGCACTTTGCTTCCCACCTTACCACTTTCAAGGCAATTCAGGGATGTCACCCAAGCAGCACAAACATTTCAGCTCCTGGATGAAAGACTAAATTTAACTAGGAGACATATATCCATTCATGAG